GCCGCGCCCCCCCCCGCCTGCTTCTCTCCGGGCCCCAGGCTGGACATCGGCGGGGGGGGCCCGGGAGGAGGTGGGGGGGCGATTTCTGCCCCCCCCCGGCGCTGCAGCCTCCCCGGGGAGCAGCGCCCCTGTGACCCCCCCCACGTGGTGCCGGGGGAACGGGGCTGTGGCCCCCCCTTTGGGGCGCGGGAGCTGACCCGGGCTCCAGTCACGTGGGTGTCTCGGGGAGGGGGGGCTGCGGGCCACCGGGGCGCGGGAGTGTCACGTGCCCCCTCCCCCCGCCGGGGAGCCGCGCGCCCTCGAGGGGTGGTTCCCGCGGGCGGGGCACGCACAGAACGTGTCCCGCACGCGGGGGGGCGGGGCGGCCTGAGCCCTGCTCCCCGCGCTGCTCGCTGCCTGGGGGCGGGGCCGGGTGCCCGCTGAATCCCCCCTGTGCCCGGGGGGGGATGCTCTGGCCCTGGCTGCCCGCAGTGCCGCCCAGTGCCCGGCTGTGCCTCCTGCAGAGGCCGAGAGCGTCCTGGGTGGGGGCGTGTGGGGAGAGGGGGGGAGTGGCTGAGAATTGGGGGGCAAACAGGTGACAGACAAACCAACCGACAGAAAAGCCTCCCTGCCTGGCCCCCAGCTGAGCGGAGAAACGTCCCCCTGGCGCCAGAGCACTGCAGGGCCCAGCCTAGTCGCTTTGTGCGCTCCAGCCCCACGGCGTGGGGAGGGGGCGACGGTGGAGGAGCCCCACGCACCCAGGCCTTAGGTTCCCCACCCGCCTTCTAAGCACTGAGCATTTTAGGCCTGGCTGGACTAGAGAAGGGGGCACCAGGGGAGTTGCCGCTGAAGGCGCGCGGCCGCGCACAAACACCCCTCTGCCGCCCACCTCCCTTGCGGAGCCTTGCAGCGGCACTCGCCTTCCTGCTGGCCGGGGAATGGCGCGGTTGTTTTCCTGATCTGGTGGGGGGCGGCTGCCCCGTTGTGTCCCTGCTGGGGCAGCCTCGCCCCACCTCCAGCTGCGATTGGGGCTTCTGTTTGTTTCTGTTCATACAGTTTGCTGCAGTTT